TTTTTTTTTTTTTTTTTTTTTTTTGGTGTTTCTTGATCCATCAATTACCGAAAGAGGTAAAGTAGAGCCTCTCTTTCTAACTGAGATTTTAGCTTCAGTTTTGGTTTACGCAGTTTGAAGCCGGGGTACTGGGTACATAGAAAGGTAGAGGAACTGTCACTTTCTGATAGATGCACAATTTTGTCATCATGCAAGTTCTCTATTGAACTCTAGAAGTGCTCTGGCCTGGTGCTCGTGGCCATTGTGTGATGGAGTGTTTTTCCTAGCCCTTTCTTTCAGTATCACAATGCCTTCATTTTAGGTGGAACCATATGAATCTATTTTTGATGTCAAAATGATTGAATACTGTTCAAATTAGTATTTTAAGTGAGTCTCTCTTATAAGTAGCATGTATTTAAAAAATCTAGTCTGAAAATCTTTGTCTCTTAAATGAAGTATTTGGTTCATTTCATTGAAGTTACTGTTTCTTTCAATTACATGTTTGGTTTTATATTGACTAGTTTTACTGTTTTATTTTCTAATTTCCCTACTGCTTTTTTGCATAGCTTTGGAGTAATAAAATCTTTTTCATTATTCCATCTCTCCCACTAGCTTCTCAGTTTCACATTCTTTTACTACTATTTTAGAGATTACCCTGGATTCCTTATCATAAATTCTTAGACAGTGCTAGAAGTATTCAGCATTTTAACTTCACTTACTGTCCTTCACTTTGTGCTATTTTACTGTCATGCGTTTTAATATTAGAGGTATTTAGACTCCACATTACACTAAGGTCCTGAAAGCCAGTATTCTTTGGACTTCTCCATGTTTACCCTTTCTGATGTTTATCATTCTTTTCTACATTTCCTTTTTATCCATCATGGATCATTTTCCTTCCGCCAAAAGAACTCACTTCAGTGTTTATGTTATGCAGGTCTACTGTTGCTGAATTCTCTTGATTCTTGTTTGGAAATTATATTATTTTGTCTATACTTTGGGAAGATAGTTTTACTGGGTATAAAATTCTACTTCGTCAGTTATTTTTATTTTAGAAACATCAAGATGTCATCCTGCTGTGTTCTAGCTCTCACTTTCTTACAATTCTGTGTTTGAAGGTTTGGATCTTTTTACCCTCAATTCCTTTTAAAAACCGTCTGAGCTGGGCATATGCCTGTAATTCTAGCACTCTGGAAGGTGGACACTGGAGGACTTGCAGTCTGAGTGACCTAGCAAGACCTGTCTCAAAATGATTAATAAAGAAAAAAAGGCTGAGGAGAGAGCTCAGTGGGACGGCCCTGGATTCAGCCTCAGTACTGTCAAAAAAGAAAAGAACAGAAGAGTCCTTGGTACCAAATAATCTCTTTATTCCGAGATTGATCATCATGTTCCTAGGTGTGATTTTCTCTCTGTGTCTCCCACTTGGACTCTGTAGCTTGATGTCATTGTTAGAAAAATTTGGGTCATTATTTCTTTAATACTATTTCTCCACTCTTTGCTTCTTCTGGGACCCCAGTGAGAGGCATATTTGGACTCTCTGCCATGCCTGTTTCTTATACACTTTCTGAAGTATAACTTAGCTGAGCCTCTTCAACTGTGCCAGTCAGTTCCGCCACCTGTTAGAGTCCTAACTTCATGAATGACACTCCTGTTTGAATTTTAATAGATGGCAGTCCTCAAGTAAGATTACCCTCTTGTTTTATATGTTTATGAGCACAATGATCACAATTATTTTAAAGTCACCCACATGTTTGTTTTTCTTGTCTGTGTTTTTCTTCCCCCTCTTGGTACTATCACTTGATATACCTCGTACTTTTCATCGAATAGTTTGTGTTAAGGCCTGCAGGGGTTCTGGATAATGTCATCACCCTCAGTAGAGGGCTAAGCCCTGGCAAGCACCTGGGGGAGCCCTGTCTGTGCACCTCAACTCAGCACAGGGCTAAACTTCCAAGATGTTGGCTTCAGTATCAAGATGTGCTTTGCTCGGCTCTTCTCAGTCTTATCTCGGAGTGTAGCCCTTTGCAGTGACAAGGGGCCCAAGAGGCAGGAATATTTCTTGGGTCCCTCTTTTTAGAAAATGTCAAATTTAAATTTCATCTCCCTGGGACCTTGGAAGCGTTTTGTTAAAATAAGATTGAGTCTCCTTTTTCTTGATGGGTCAGCCTCTTATCCTGAATAACTATCAGTTAGCAAATACCTCAAAGAAAAATACCCCAGCAAACACCCCAGCCGTCAGATCACCTCTGCACCCCCATTGTCTCCCAGGTCTTGGCTCCTCCAGCCCTGGCAGCTTTCATTTATCTTTTTATCACTGCTCTGTAAATAACTTAAAAGTCTGCTGACTTCTACTTGTTGGTAATCTCTGCTATCCCCCTCGACCCTCGCCCTCCACAAAATTTCCAAGGGGAAAAGCTAATGACCAAGTGTTGAGATCTTTCTCAAAGTTTCTTTTCTTTTCCCCTCGAAGTCTTGACTCCTTAAATAGTGGCTGCTAACGAAGTCCTACAACTCTTACACTATTTTTTTAAATTAAGCGAAGTGTGGTTGCACAGAGGAGGCCAAAGCAGGAGGATCCCAGGTTCAAGGTTAGCTTGGACAACTTAGAGGAACCCGTCTCATATTTTTTTAAAGAGTTTTTTAAAAGGGACTGGACAGTGTAACTTAGTAGTAGAAGGCTTGCCTGGTATGCATGAAATTCCTCAGTTTTATCCCAAGTACCATTAAAAAAAAATCCAGCTTTTTAAATGGATCTCTTTGGCCTGACCCAAGCTGCTTTATCATAGTTAAAAGTGCAAGTATAACTTTTCATCTTTTAAAATCTTATTTTCATGATTTTTCAAGTCAACAGAACCTGTTGTTTTCCCTAATCCCTTTTGCTATGAGGTAATAAACAAATAAATCCTAAGCCCTTCAGGCACTTGAGTGGAGACAGACACTTTGGGCTCAGCTCCCACCCTATGCCAACTAATAAACTTCTCGGAGGTATTGTATTTGTATTTCTTAATACACTGTGGAACAGAACTTCTTTAAATCTCACTTCAGTTCTACAGAATAAACAGGGATCATTTTCACCCATTTTTTTTTTCAAACAAAGACTTGGAAGCTCATTAAGACAGAGCAAAGAGGTTTAAATGAATTCTTCTGGTGCTGCTAATTAAGGAAAAGAATCCTCACTCTAATTTAGTTCTTTTCAGTCAATGTCTAGCTGCCACTCATGCTTGTTTTTGATTGTAGACTCCAAAGCCACAACCTCCTGCACTCCACAAAGCTAACCAGGGAACTAAGCATACAGTAGGTGCTCTATGAATGCTTGCTGAGTGGTTTTACGTTGTGTTGGACTTGCTGATCGCAGCCTGGGACTGGCTTTTCTCTGTTGCCTCAAATTTTATTTAAAAGGGAACTGAGAATAATAAATCCAATTATGGTGCCAAATGGAACCCATAGGAATTGATGAGGAATACAGCATAAATCTGCTAAAACTCTTACTAATATTTATTCTCCTCTTTCTTATATTTAGGCATATCTGGGTATAACTAAATCAGATCAATCTGCCCCTGTAAGACAGGCAGCTTAACCACCCCTCTGCTCCCCCTCTTCAACCCCCCAAAACAAACTTGAGGCAAACTGACATCATACAGCAGTTAATGAGGCCTATTATGTTCTAAAATGACAGGCATGTAAATTGAAGCCATTTCTGGGATAAGTCACTCCAAATTCCAGGGGTGAGGACAATCTATCCTACGTGTTCAAGGAAAAGTCTGCAGCATTTTGAAAAGGAAAAAAAAGAGCTATCTTTGTAACATTGCTGAGACACTGAGAAGCACTACAGATGTTTTGAAGGAAATTGCTGGGAGCTTGTTGAAAATTGGTTGGGGGAGGTAAACTTTCCTCCTCTGAGTCATGAGAGGACAGCTTTATAATTACCACCTGAGATCCACCGGGCTCTTGATAGAAAGGCTTTAGGGGTATGGTGCTGTTTGTTTGTTAACATGTAGGAGTGCAATTTTTGTTATTTGTGTGTTCAGTACAGATTGCCAGGATTCGTCTCAAGCTCTGCTTCCTGTTTAAAACCGAACGCTTTAAAGATGGTTAAACCATCTGTGGTGTTCTAGCATGGGACACCAGGTGGGGAGTAATACTTGGCCTGTTGACTTTTAAGAACTTTTTAAATCCATTTTATTAACTTCACTGAGGTGTAATGTGCATGTGCCCTACTTGTTTATATTTTCTAAGAACTTCTGAGTGTATGTTCACACGTGGTATTGGTCTATAGTTTTTTGGTAATGTAGTTTTAATATTAAATTGTTATGGTCTTATAAAGAGTTGGGGCATGTTCCTCCTTTTTCTGAAAGATTTTTATTTTGTTTACTTTTAGAATTGACATATTTCTTTCTTAAATATTTGTGGAATTGACTAATGAAGACATCTGGGTTGGAGTACTTTGGTTTTTGGAGGGGACTTTGAAATTGTGAATTCAAATTCTTTAATGAACATACGCTTGCATTTCCAACTTCGGTTTCATTTTCTGTTTTCCTCATATTTTAGCAAAAACTACACACAGAAACAGGACTAAGAAGCCACAAAAATGACACAAGTAAGAATTTATAGAAGTCATGCGATATTGCCTTTAAAACCTAAGTGGCTAAAGGGAATTTAAAAGGCAGAGATGAGGCAGACAACCTGAACTCCTGAACCTACCCATCTTTTTCTCTCTCTCATCTTCTACCAGATGCCTCCCTCTGCCTCCTGAAATTCCAGTGCTTCTTGGGGAGTCACAGGCACCAAGGAAGGCCATGGTCATTCAATGGGAATGAATGGTTCCATTGAGCTATGGTCAGCTGGGGTCTTATTCCCTGACTCTGTGACTGCTCAGGGGATGAAGTGTTCTTCATCGATATGCTGTGAAGTTTGATGCCTTAGAAAGCATAGCTCTATTTACCACTTTTTATTCTATCTGTATTTGTCGATTGAAGAGTGATAGGATTATTTCCAAAAGATGAAAAATATTTCCAAAAGATGAGAAGTATAAAACAAAAGAGGCCTTTATTCTGAGAACACGGAGAGAGATGACTGGCACGCTGGCTGCTGAAGTCTGGCGATCTCTCTCACAGACATGTGGCGTGGGGGAATATAAGTAGCCTAAGCTTAGGGCAGTGCCCTAAGGCCATTAGAGATGCACAGGCATTTCATTGGCATACGTTTGGCACCAGGGGCAGATTCCGAAGGGTGGGGGATGTAGAATTACAGGTAAATCTCTAGGGGTGGGGGAGACAGGAGCTCTCTGATTCTGGCTGAAGTCTTTTCTGGCTAGAGTGTCTGGTCTGGGCCAACAACCCTTTTATATCCCATCTTATGATTATTATGAAAAGGGGCGAAGGTTTTTCTCTTTAACTACTTCCTGCTGGCAGGGGGTGCTGTACTGGAGCCTAGGGGAGTCGACGGGATGACGGTTGATGCCCAAGTAGACACTGACGCCAGGTGTTTTAGCCAAGACAACTTCACTGGTGAATGCACGTATGTCAGACTGGAAAAACAAAGAGATATGATGTTATAAGGAGACATGGCACTGTCATATTTAAGGACCCAGATGAGGTAGAGGGAAAGGTGCCTTTGATTTAGACATGTTATTTTATCAGGATGATGGTGTGGTAGGATCATTATCATGGTGAGGTAGAATTCTGAAAAATAAGTGTGAGGTTAGAACGAGTGAAATTATGAGAGGTGATTACTCCCCCATCTGAAAGCATAAAAGTTAGGAGGGTAGGTGTGTAAAACTTGTCTCCGGTCCAGGAGTCAAGCTGGAAAAAATAGGGGGAGTAGGGGAGGTGGTGGCTGTACCAGTATAGGGAAGGTAAGGGCTTAGGCTTTCAGGGATGTCACGTTTAACCAGACAGCTGAGGGTAGAAAGAACCACAACAGTCACATAGAACATTATAAAGATGATCTTATGCATGATGTGGGAGTCTAGGAAAGACTGTGAAGAGTCCTGCTGTAAAAATGATCATTAATAGAACGTAAGAGATTAGGAACCAAATTGGATAACAAAACATGACTTAGCCTGTTAACTGTGGCTGTGAGGCCTTCATGAAACGGAGACAGGTGGGTGACAGAAGATGAGATGACCACTCGGAATGATCAGATTTAGGGCTGGGAGGGTACCTCTTAGCCTGAGTGATGTGAAACCAGGATGGGAGTCCAGCAACTTTGACCGTTGTAGGGGTAGCCAAGTAGACCAGATAGGGGCCACTCCACCTTGGTTATAGTCCTGTGGATTTAGAACATTTGAGATAAATTAGATCTCCTGGGGATATGAGAGGATCTGGTTTGGCCTCTCCAGAGGGTTGTGGAAGGCAGAGATCAGCATGTTGTCGCAACAGGTGTAGGAGGAAGCAGAGGACTGGGACATAGTCAGCCAGGGGAGGGAGATTTTGGGGAGTAGGAAGATTGTGGAGTAAGAATGGCCTGCCATACATAAGTTCAAAAGGACTTAAGAAAGTAGGAGCCTGGGGAAGTGCCCTGAGCTTGGCTAAAGCTAAGGGCAAAAGTTGAGGCCAAGGTTGGTGTAATTCTAAAGTGAGTTTTGCAAGGTGTGTCTTTATGAGGCCATTTGCCTTTTCTACTTTTCCTGAGGATTGTGGATGGTATGGAATGTGTAGGTGCCAGGTGATGTGTAAGCTTGAGGATACCTGTTGAGTGATCTGAGAAATAAAGGCGGGACCATTATCTGACTGAATACTCTGAGGTAGACCAAACCTTGGAATGATTTCTTATAATATGATTTTGGTAACTACATCAGCAGTTTCCCTGGTTGTGGGAAAGGCTTCTATCCATCCTGAAAAGGTACAAACAAAGATGAGAAGATATTTGAGAGTCTTGTGGCAGGGCATGTGTGTAAAATCTACCTGCCAGTCCTGACCAGGGGTGTGTCCCCGAAATTGATGGGTAGGAAAGGAAGGGGGTGCCATGCATCCCTGAGGAGAGGTCCTGGCACAGAGATCACAGGTGTGAGTAATCTTAAGAATGATAGCTTTTAGAGAAGGGTGTGTGACTATTTGGGCTATGAGTTTGTATAGGGCCTGTGATCCTATATGAAAACAGTTGTGTAAGTTAGTGATGATGTCTGAGGCCTGTTGATGTGGGAGAACAAGTTTTGATCCCTGAAAAATCCATCCCTGAGTGTTTTGTGTGTAACCTGGTTTATGAAGTAGCTGTAACTGCTCTGATGAATAATTGGGCTGAGGTAGACTGTTTGGGACTAAGGGGAGAAGATGAGAAGGGCAGGGCCCTTGTGCAGCTAACTTGGCTTGTGAATCTGCAAAGGCATTGCCTTGAGCAATAGGATCTGTGGCGTTTTGGTGTCCTCTGCAATGAATAACTGCTGCCTGCTTTGGAAGTTGGGCTGCCTCTAGAAGTTTAAGGATAAGGGGAGCTTTAATGATAGGGGTTCCCTGAGTGGAAATAAAATTCTGTTCTTGCCAGATAGAGGCATGAGAGTGTAAAATGCTAAATGTATACTTTGAGTCAGTGTATATATTTATAATCTTGTCTTTTGCTAGTGTAAGAGCCCTTGTAAGGGCAGTTAAGTTCTGCCCTCTGGGAAGAGGTCCCAGGTGGCAGTGGATTTGCCTCTATAACTTTTGACTGGTTAACTATTGCGTATCCTGCCTTCTTTTGGTTGTCTGTGTTTGCTGAACTGCCATCTATGAATCATGTGTCAAAGGCCAAGGAGAGAGGTGTGCTACTGATGTGAGGGGAAGGGGTGGGAGTCATCTGTAAAAACTCTATACAGTCATGGTGAGGATGGCCCTCTGAGGTGGGAGGTAAGGTGGCTTTACTAAGAAGACTACTAGTTGCAATAGAGATGCAAGGGTCTTGAGAGAGAGCTAAGTGTACCTGTTGAAGGCGAGAAGGGGTCATTAGGGCAGGGAGCACCTTATGTGAGATAAGCTCACGTAGGTGATGAGGTGAGTGTACTGTAATAGATTGTCCTAATGTAAACTTTTTAGCTTCCTGTGTCAGGAGGGCTGCAGCTGCAAGAGCTCGGAAACAAGGAGCCCATCCTTTTACTATGTGACCTAACTGTTTTGACAAGTAAGCTACTGCTTGAAAAGAAGGTCCCTTTTTGTGTCCTAGTACACCTATAGCATTGTGGCCCTGACAAGTAGTGTATAGGATGAAAGGTTGGGTGGGGTCAGGAAGGGTAAGAGCTAGAGCTTTTAGGATAGCCTCTTTTAATTTTTGAAAGGAGGCATGTATAGGCCTAGTAGGGTCCAGGGGTTCTGATAAGGGACCCTTAGCGGCCTTGTAGAGGAGTTGAGCTAGGGCTGCAAAGTTAGGAATCCAGAGATGAAAGAAATTAGCTAAACCTAGGAACGATGTAACCTGATGTTTAGTTGTGGGCACCTGGAGATCACGAAGAATTGCCTTACAATCTGAGGTGATGGAGCGAGTGGTGGGGGTGAGAGCAAGACCTAGGTATTTGACTTTTGGGGAGGCTATCTGGGCTTTGGCAGGAGACATCTTGTATCCACAACTAACAAGGAAGTTAAGAAGACTGGCTGAGTGGTGTATGGCTAACATATGGGATGGAGAACATAATAGGAGGTCGTCTATGTATTGAAGAAGAACACTAGGTTTGAGATCAAGTTCTGTGAGGTCAGTAGCGAGAGCCTGACTAAAGAAGTGGGGACTATCCCTGAACCCTTGGGGGAGCACTGTCCAAGTAAGTTGTTGAGACCTGAGAGTGTCTGGGTCAGTCCATGTAAATGCAAAGAGGTTCTGGCAATCAGGGTGTAGGGGGATAGTGAAGAAGGCATCTTTAAGATCTATAACTGTAAAGTGAGTAGTGGAAGGAGGGATATGAGAGAGCATGGTATAAGGATTTGGCACCACTGGGTGAGTCGGGGTAACAGCACTGTTAATTATCCTAAGATCCTATACCAGGTGATAGGACCCATCAGGCTTGAGTACCAAGAGAATGGGAGTATTGTGGGGTGAATGGGTAGGTTTAAGAAAACCATTGTCTAAAAACCACTTAATTATGGGTTTAAGTCCCCTTAAATGTTGGGGAGCTATGGGGTATTGGGGAACGCAGGGAAAAATTGAGGGATCCTTGAGACGGATTAAAACAGGCATGGCATGTGTAGCCAGAGTGGGACTGGATGTATCCCAAACCATGGGGTCAACCGGAGAAGGAGGAAGAGGGGGGAATGGCTTTGCGATGCATTGTGAGGCTGTTTGGAGGATTAGGGCTGTGGGGAGAGAGAAAGTGAAGGAAAAATTAAGCTTTTGAAGAAGGTCTCTACCTAAAAGGGCTGTGGGACATGTTGGGATTACTAGGAAGCTATGGGTAAAGAAAAGAGTCTGGAATCTACATGGGATAGGCCTAGTCTGCAAAGGTTGATTCTGCTGGCTGTCAACGCCCACAACAGAAATCAGAGACTTACTACAGGGTCCTGAAATTCAGGCAGTACACTATAAGTCACCCCCGTATCCACAAGCAGAGATATTATTTTGCCTGAGACCTTCAGTGAGACTCAGGGCTCCAATAAGCTTACCGGAGTGGGGGCTGTGAGCCCTGAGCCCCATCAATCTTCCACAGCAAGTCCGAGCAGGTCAGTGAGCGACGAATCTGGCATTGACAAAGTCTCCTGTGAGGGCAAGGGATTAGAGGATGGCCTAGTCGCTCACTGGCATTTAGGATAATCGTTCTTCCAATGCCCTTTAACGTTGAAGTATGGGCAGGGCCCAGGAGGAATGCCAGGGTTAGGGCAGTCTCTTGCCCAATGTCCTTGTTTGCTGCATTTGAAGCATGGTCCGGGTGGGACTCAGGCAGCCACACCATGTTGTGGATTTTTTGTCTTGGGAGCTCCGAGTGCCACTGCTAAGAGGTCAGACTGATATTTAACAAACTTTAATTTTTGAGCTTGCTTTTTGAAGCTTATCTCTATTGTTGAAGATATGGAAGGCTAATTTAAGTAGATCCCCTTGTGGAGTTTGAGGGCCATGTTCAACCTTTTGTAATTTTGCACAAATATCAGGAGCAGACTGTGAAATAAAATAAGAGTTAACAACAATCATCCCTTCATGAGAGTCTGGGTTTACATTGTATATTTAATTAAGGTTTCCCAAAGCTGATTTAGAAACACAGCCGGGTTTTCATTAGCCTCCTGGACCTATTCTAAAAGCTTGTTATAATTACTGTGTTTGTGAGCGATCTTATTAAGGCCCACAATCAGACACTCAATCATCTTATGTAATTTTGTTGAACCTTGTCCATTTTGATAGTTCCAGTTAGGGTCTTGGTCTAGCACAGCTATAGGCCCAGGGTCATTGTCAGTGGTATTTGCTCTATGCCTGCGGTCAGCTTCTTCTGGAGCTACCTGCCACAGCTGATTTTGCTCTTGTGAGCTAATGGTGGTATTTAAAATCACATAAACATCTTTAAAATGTAAATAGTAACAATTAGTAATGAATTTAAATTGTTTGATATAATTTTGTGGGTCAACAGAGAAACTGCCTAATTTATGGGTAATCTGAGACAGATCAGAAAGAGAAAATGGCACATGTATATTAACAAGTCCCTCGGGGCCAGCTTGCTCCCGAAGTGGCAGCAGAGCCTGAGAAGAATGTGGAGGAGTGTGCCATTGGGCAGCTATCTGCCCGGTAGACACGTGTGAGTAATTATCTGAAGAGTGGCTATAGAGCAGCTGCCGCTCACCTTGGGATGAGGAAACACAGGCAGATGGCATTACACTGTGTGCCTTGCAAGGAGAGGATTGTTGTGGGCCATTGCCATGTGGACCGCAAGGCGGCTGTTGCTGTTCACAAGAGGAGCCACGGGGGGCGCCCATTGACAGCGAGACCAGAACGAACATGGCAGCACCCTGTTGCCATGGTAACTGACCGAACATGGGGGTGCCCTGTCACCACATGACCCCTCTGAGCATGGGATGGCAGCGCCCGTCGCTGCCGCAGCTACCCAAACATGGTGGGGCTGTCGTGTGGTGAAGGGCTATCACATGGCGACTGTTCCCAGTGCAAGCTGGAAAAACCATGCTGCTTGCTGGAAGGGCATAATGAACGTGACCTAGTGTGGTGGGCAGGCAGCCACAAGATATCAGAGGGCGGAGCAGAGCTGCTGGGAGAGGCCTGTATCGCAGAAGGTGGAGGGAGAGAGGATCGAGCAGTGAGAGGTAATTTTGGTGTAGAGGGACCAGGGGCAGGGGGAGGGGACGGCGGTGGAGAGCGAGATAAAGATGAAGATTAATTTGAGGATATGATGGAGGCCGAGAGTAAATCGGAGGAACAACCTCAAGCATATCTTGGGGACAGGATGAAACAGGTTGGGTCACAGGAGAGCTAGCTAGTATATGAGTGGGATTACAGGACTTAATGAGAGACGGACGTGTTGTCAGAACCAAAA